TAGTATTGTTATTAGCCTAATTGAATTGCCTATTTTTGGCCTTGATCACAAAGATGGGTGGATGGATAGAGTAGAAGAATTTCCCATCAATGTTGTTCTCAGACGCCATCATGCAGGACTAATACAAACCCCTCTCCCGAAGTCTCTCGGGAGCCCATAATAAGCCATTATACGAGCGCATTAGGGGTAATGAAAAGGCTCTTAGTAGTTTACCACTGCGGGCCACCTGGATTTTGTCTCTGCGGAAGTGGGCGGCGGCCGTGACTGCCTGATGGCTCGGCTGCGTGTTGAGGGGAGGAACAACACTGGAGACAAATATGTTTGCATGTAAGCAGGTTATTTTAATATAATTTCCAGACACGATGATCTTTGTTGCACTTTAAACTGGACAACGTAGCCTGTCTATCGAGGTCTCAGCCAGTGTTTAAACAACTTTCACATGCCGATATTTGTGAATAAGATGTATGTGCCAGATTTAGTTTAAAGAATGTTATGTAGCCTATTATTACAATGAAAGTATGGGGGGAATGAATTCTGAGGGAAACCAACCTATCAGTTTATTGTCCGTGTTATGACATTGAAACGTGAAAGTCTCATCCCAGTGGATGAATGTAAGCTTTTAATTAGCCTATGAACATTGATAGATAAGTGTGTGTGTGTGTGTGTGTGTGTGTGTGTGTTGGTTTCTGATCATGCTTGTGTGACTGTTGTTTTGTTGTGTGTGTAATCTCTGTCTGTCTTGCAAAATAGATATTGGTTATGTAGGCCCACATATTCCTGTCTATGTGGGTTTTTTCAAAGGTGACCCTGGTGTTTGTAAATTTCAGTATTTAAAGTGGAATTTACTGTACATTTGTAGTTTCTATTATATAGCAGCTGAGCTGTAACCATCTCTCCACAGCTGGGAAACTACTTGAGGTGATAATGCAGAATCACATACACCATACAGACAGTAAATAATAAAACATCCTATAGGACACAATGGAAGCATGACGAGGTTAGTGGATTATAAGTTTCAGTTTTGCTACTTGAATCTCTAAATTGAAATTGAACCCAATTCAGTTTGATATCCCAACATTTATATACGCCCAAGTCGGTCACACATTCTTGCTTCTCTGTCTTCCTGCTGAGGGAGATATTGAATTTACTGCCCCAATTAACTAATGACACAGATTTTCTTTTTTTTTAAATCTCCAGGAGAACTGAGCAACTCTGTATCCATGGGACAAGACCACGAGATGCAACTGAAAGCCTCTCAAAGTCAAGCAATTGCTATTTCCAAGGTCAATAATAAACCTCCAAACGCAGAATAAATGGCTGTTCAGGGTGGACTTGCCCTTTAAAGATGCTAATGAATAGAAACAAACGCTGTCCGTGGTTCTGAAATCTGGACTAATGGACAGGTTCCGAAATGATTTCCTCTCCGCCTTCAAAACGATTTGCACAAGACTGTTCAGCGCAGACGACACGTAATCTAGTCGATAACACAGACAGTGGGCTACCTGTGATTGTGATGCAAATGTTAATGGACTCTGAGGTCCTCTGATTAGCCTGATGTGGGCTAATTTCCCTCGTCTACAGTCCCCAGAGAGCCCGAGAGTGCCTTTTCTCTGTCCCTTATTAATTGAGGAGTGTTTCGGTGTTGGGTGGTGTTTTTCTGCCTCGCCGGGCTGGCAGACAGACGCAGTATAGCCAGGCGATCGTGGGTTAAATGTGACAGCTGATGTAGCACAGGGCGGATGCTTCGGTTTCCAGCAGTCTTCATAGTTCTTAACCAAAAGTCATTCAGCAGCATCTCTGCACTCCTGATTTTATTTCGCACCTCTCCCTCAAATACTTTCTTATCTTGGCTCAGTCTGGGTCGTGCCTAAACGATTCATGTAACCCCCCCCCCCCCCCCCCCCCCCTCCACCGCACACACACACACGCGCGCGTCATTACTTTGTCTCATTGAAAACATTTCATGGAACAGGTAATGATAGCCTAATGGGAGTAATTGTAGACCTACATAATTGCAGCCAGCGACGTCATGGAAACATAAAACCCAGTTTATTTTGCGTGATAAACTACAGTGTTATATTAGTCAAATGGCCTACAGTATGTGTAGATCACATTTTTATTAATAGCTTATGTTTATTCGTTCCATATGATGTGGTCTACCTTATGATAATAATCAAAAGCAGCTGGTAGTCGCGGAAATTAGGCTTTTATTTTTGTGATTCGAGGAAAAGATGGGGGGGGGGGGGGGTATCGGCGAAGGGGGTGGAATGGAGAGAGGGAGGTACATGAAGGCGGAGAACCTTGTGCCAGCTCACCCATGTGTGTAATGTGAAAAAGGAGAGCCGGGGGGTGATATTCTGAGGAGGGGGAGAGGAGGAGGAGGAGGAGGAGGAAAAATGCGCGTGGGGGTGGGTACACTGTAGGGAATGAATTTGAGGACACAGTGAGATCACAATGCCATTTTGGATATGACTTTGTTTCACCAAGAAAGAATTTTTTTTAAAAGCCTCACCAGTGCATAATCGAACATGCGGGATAAACACAAAAGCGGCGCAAACTCGGACACCAGAGATAACGAGCTTTGATTGGTCATATCTGTATCGACAGACACTAGGAGCCTCCTGGGACGTGGCACCCTGACCTTCTGATGACTCTCAGAATGGGTGATAAACTGAGGAAATCACTTTCCTCCTATTTGCAGATGGATACCCGTGCAGCTCTCACAGTTTAGAGCACGGACGCATACATGAAGTGACTGTGAGACGTGCACAATTAGCCTATTTTACAACAAGACCTGCGAGGAATCAAAGTATCGCTTATTATTGTCATTTGTGTTGTCTGAAACCACCAAATCTGCTAAATCAGAATGAGGCACTTTGTCACCAGCCACAGTAGTATAGGCCGAAACTTGCATTTTACACGGTGAAACTGAGGCCTCAAACATCGACTTTAAGAGATGATGTTGTCCTCGTGCACAAGCCAATGTGCGCGTGCACGTGTTGGTTTCATCATGCAGTCATAACAAGCCTAAATCTTTTTGTAAACTCAGTCTAGATATCTACACAATCATGACAAATTAAATATTGTGTTATTATTTGTACAGTAGGTCGTGAGAATGTCTGCAGCCGCTGTAACCTGCTGTCTGCTGGTGTCAGGGCTGCTCTTTTCATCTTGCAGCACACTCCATCAGACAGCGAAGAGCGCAGATCAGAGGAGGGCTGCAGCCCGCTGATAACAGCCTCTGTCATTAACTCTTTCATTCAGGGCTGGGGAAAGCAGCCATTGTCGTTCCCACAACTGAAGAAAAAAAATCACACAGGACACACGCAGCAGGAGCGCGTCGGAGTGAGCGATTTATTTGCCCTGTATTTTAGGACTCTGATGTTTAAAATCAGGCATTTGACGCAGGCCTGAACTGCCCATCTGAGCCTGTCAGTGATTTGCATCGTGATGCAGCTTGGTTTCCTCTTGAATTTACCTTTAGGTCATTGCATTCTGTGGAAAAATGAATAAAGCGAATTAGTCTTTTATCGCCCTTTTCTCTCTTTCTTTAAAATTATATTTTACATTACATACGGGCTTATCTGTGGTGTTTTCTCCTTACTTAAATCGGACACCGATTCACATTAGGCCTCTCATACTGATTTAAGCGATTGGCTACCTTGAGCAAAAAACAAAGTGTCAGTTTACTCCGCTGCATCTCTGCTCTGATCAAGTTACAGCCTATTCAAGAAAACAGGTCCAGAGCTTTTAATAGGTCGTATTATTTTCTCTCTCTTTCAAGTGCAAAGCAAATAGCCTGGATGTATACAGCAACAGGCCGTGTTACTGTATACAGTGTGTGTTAGTGCAAGGCCGCGTCTTTGAATCATAGTGATACTGCAGCCTGAGGAAACGCGGAAACACTGAACATGGTGGACACAAAGTACAAGTGACAAGGCAATGTCAACAAACTGTTTACAGCACTTTGGGCCTCGGTTACTAAATCGCTCAGGCTACATTAATGGAAAACAAAATCACGTGTAATTAAAGCTTATTATGTCTTTTTAAAATGTGTCAATGAGACAAATAAAATGTGACAGCGAAATTAGAAAGCGCACTGTTACTTGGATTGACGAGATTATTCTTAAACCAGGCTCGATTTTAAAAGTTGTTTATTTTTCTATGAAGAAAGAAATTCTACCTACTGTATATTTAGGATGTGATTCGTTTGATAGGCTATGGGAAAAAAAGCGGAAGTACGCTCGACTTCCAAAGAATAAAAACAAACGCATTTCGCACTCCAGAACAAATCAAGATGGAAATTCTCGTGAGTTAACATATATTGTCTATAAACATTTCCTTTTAAACTCATTTGCCTAGATTTTGAATAGCATGTATATTTTTCTCAAGGGAAGCACCGACATGCCTCAACTTCACAGACACATCAACGTCACTGAATGAGTGAATGAATAAATGAGCGTCCTGAATAAAGGTTTCACTGAAAATAGAGCCGGTGGAATAAAAGTAGATCAAACTTCACGCTTCACTTTATGAATAAAGAATAAGTTCTCAAAAGGACATATTAAAATATGTACGGTCTCGAGTTCTATATCTTACCATCATTTAGCAAAGACAGAATGCACAAAAATATGTTTTCCTCGTCAACAAACGCAACACGGTTTATGAACTCGATCCACGTAATCCCAGAAACAACTTGGGTTACTATTTTGATGCTCCACGTCCTCTTCTCGTTAAAAAGAAATTCGATTTTTTTAATTAATAACAAATCCTAATTTTGAATGATATATAATTTAGTCCAAAGAGTTTGGGTTTTCTTCAAATTCTAGCCTCCTTTTATACGCGTAAAGTTATGCACGATCTGAGGCCCCTGGAATGTGATTGGATGTTTGTATGAGGTATTATAGATTATGGGTTGGGGAAGGGATGGTGGGGGTACTACAAGCGCCTCCCCTAGAAATGCAGCAAATCTCTCCCGTTTTCTCCTGGTGGGGCACTGGGAGGGTTGGAGACGTGCTTTGCATTGGCAGGCTGATGAGGACACGTGTCTCCTCCCTGCCTCCCCCCCGGGCTCCACGGTACCGCATTGGCATCAGTAAAGGCACCTGAAAACAGACAACCATCTCCTGGAAACGCTGCCTGCCACCTTATAACCCAAAAGAAAGCGATATTATAGGCCCTACAGAAACCTGTGGCTCGCCTTTTGTCGTGCGTAAAGCTTTTGCGCACACCGCCAAACTGCCTCAGAGACTGACTAGGTGCGCTACTCGTCGAGCATCAGAGCGCAGTGCCAAGATGCAGAAACGGAGCAGCGACGTCTGAAGGTGACATGAACCTGAGGATAATCAAGAGCAGCAGGCGTACACTGAACACGAAGTGGAGATAGCAACTGAAAACCGTCGGTGTCTTGAAGCAACTTTCCCCCGTGGCTTTATCTAATGCAGAGAATCAAGAGCTGCCATCCAAAGTAGCCTAACATTTTTACTGAGAGGAGGAGAAAAACACTAATTTAAGCTGCAGACAGCTGAGATTTGGGAGAGGAACAAAAAATGGCGACGTTAATCAGAAGCAAGCTTTCTAATAAACTGTCAAATGCAGCCACCGCTGTCTCCAACAAATCCCAGGCGAAGGTGAGTGGGATGTTCGCCAAGATGGGGTTCCAGGCCGCCACCAACGAGGAGGCTGTGGGCTTCGCCGCCTGCGATGACCTGGACTACGACCACCGGCAAGGCATGCAGATGGACATTTTGACATCGGATGAAGTGGGAGGAGAGGGCAGCGCAGACGGGCTGGAGGGGGACAGCCACTACCAGAGGGACGGCACCGGTCCACCGCGCTCAGCCTCAAAAGACGGAGGTCCGACGAACGAGTTGACTGAAGTGAGACCAAAAATCACCGCTTGGGAGGCGGGCTGGAACGTCACGAATGCAATCCAGGTAAAGACGCACTTCACGGATCATGAACTGGCAGCTCCGGTGCTCGGTTCTAATTGGCTGAGTTGTCTCCGGAGCAGCTGTGAAATTCGAGCTAAACGCACACCTGCAACCGCATAAAAAGGTTACTTAAAATGTTCTTTTAAAAAATCACCAGGTTCTGTCCATTTGAAGCAACTTCGTCAAAATGCAGTTTTAAAAAAATGCTACAAAAACACTCCAATTACTTTTGGCTTAAAAACATAACAACACATTTTTATTCTAATATACTTTTCACTGAAGCAATGCAGAGATTTCAGAGCAGCTCAGGCGTTACCATGCCCAGTTGCCCCCCTCCTCTGCTTCTTCCTCCTACTCCTCCTCTCAACACATTCTTTGTCTGTACAGTGATTGTCCAGTGTCACCGATGCACGTCCCTGATAACGGCTCGACAAATATTAAGCATGGCAATGAATCAATTAATCTATAAATAAACACACACCGTCATTGTACAGACTTTGACAGTATGAAGCAAAATCCTAATGGATTTAAAAAATCCTTTTTGGGAATTATTTTGGGGCTATTTAAAAATGCACCGGGATTAATAGCAGCTATAACATAAAGGTCATGTGCGGAAAGATGTGTAGACACACAGGCCTGTTCCGTATATTATTATAAAGTAATAAGTCACAAATACTCCCATATTGTCTTGGCAATTGCAGGTGCAGTCAGAAGTGGCAGAAAATATATATTTTTTATTATATATTAAAATACCCAATTACGCACAAAGAGTTGAGTGCGCACGCAGCAATTTCGTTCAAAAGGCGGTGGTTAAAGGATGTGGAAGGGACGGAGCGTCATTTAAAATGCGAGGATTTACTGGAGAGTGGAGTCTGCGTGTGCAGGCCATGCAGGCTAAAGATCCCTAGATGCAATCCTTTTCATGCCTTATCACGCCCGTGGTCACGGCAGTCACCGTGACGTCAGAGTGTGTCTCCTCAAGCTCGTGGTGACGTCAGAGGCGGGCGGATGCGCTCAAAGCAAAGAGGAAAACCCACAACATGAAGGGGGAAAAAAACAGGGAGTAACATCCACTGAAGAGTCAGGCCTACCAAAGCCCACGTTCTAATGTGATTTGGTTGATTGAAATTAAAAGTAATATGTTCAGAAAAAGAATGATGAATACTTAACTTAAAGACTAAACTATTTAACACATTCACCATGCTTTCCCCCCTCCTTATTTGTTTATAGGGGATGTTCGTTCTTGGTTTGCCCTACGCCATCCTGCACGGAGGATACCTTGGACTGTTTCTCATTATTTTCGCCGCCGTGGTTTGCTGTTACACGGGGAAAATCCTCATTGCCTGCCTGTACGAGGAGGACGAAGACGGGCAGCTCGTCCGTGTGAGGGACTCCTATGTGGACATTGCCAACGCCTGCTGCGCGCCCAGATTCCCGTCTTTAGGTGGCCATATCGTGAATGTAGCCCAAATCATAGAGCTAGTGATGACTTGCATCCTGTACGTGGTGGTCAGTGGTAATCTCATGTACAACAGCTTCCCCAATATGCCAATTTCCCAGAAGTCGTGGGCCATCATCGCCACCGTCGCCCTGCTCCCTTGCGCCTTCCTCAAGAACCTGAAAGCCGTCTCCAAGTTCAGCTTGCTGTGCACAATGGCCCACTTTGTCATCAACATCCTGGTGATAGCTTACTGTCTCTCCAGAGCGAGGGACTGGGCCTGGGACAAGGTCAAGTTTTACATCGATGTCAAGAAGTTCCCCATCTCCATTGGGATTATCGTGTTCAGCTACACCTCGCAGATCTTCCTGCCGTCTCTGGAGGGGAACATGAGCAAACCGAGCGAGTTCCACTGCATGATGAACTGGACTCACATCGCTGCCTGCATCCTCAAGGGCCTGTTCGCCCTAGTGGCCTACTTGACCTGGGCTGACGAAACCAAGGAGGTCATCACAGACAACCTGCCTCCAACCATCCGAGCTGTCGTCAACATCTTCCTAGTGGCCAAAGCTTTGCTGTCATATCCGCTGCCGTTTTTCGCCGCCGTCGAGGTGTTGGAGAAATCATTTTTCCAGGACGGGGGACGCGCGTTCTTTCCAGATTGCTATGGAGGCGATGGACGCCTAAAGTCCTGGGGACTGTCTCTCCGATGTATCCTCGTTGTGTTCACCTTGCTCATGGCGATCTATGTGCCACATTTCGCCCTCCTCATGGGTCTCACCGGCAGCCTGACAGGTGCAGGCCTGTGCTTTCTGCTTCCCAGTCTCTTCCACCTCAAGCTTTTATGGAGAAAGCTGCTATGGCACCAGGTTTTCTTTGATGTCGCTATCTTTGTAATAGGGGGTATATGCAGCGTATCCGGTTTTATCCACTCAATAGAGGGGCTCATAGAGGCTTTCAAATATAACATAGAAGATTAGATGCAAGCCATTGCTGGAACTAGATGTTAACTGCAAATCCCCATTTAGTGAAAAAACAAAACCCGGCGAGCGCAGCCCCCCTCTGCTTAATTCATGCGTAAAAAGCGCGCACGGAACACACGCAGACATTTACGCACTCATACAGTCTTGCATCGATTCAGAAAAAAATGCGCGCGCGCACACACACACACACACACACACACACACACACACAGAAATAGAGCCGGTGACAGTGAGGGAATCCAGTGCACCCACAACACACTATATGGACAGTACATGTTGTATAAATATGAGAACAAACGTACATATACATATTTTCCAGTGGAGTGAACGTTTACAATATTGACCTTAAACAAAATCGCAAAAAGGGCAGTTTGTCTTTTCGTCGCTCTTGTGGTGCTTCCCCACGAGACTTCACTTCATGTTACGCTCGAGTTTGTGATGGACCGATATACGACGGCATAATGTGGTTTAATGATGATTAGGATATGTTTATTTAAAAGTAAAAAAAAATAACAAACGCTACTTTCTTCTATAGGTAATTTGCAATATGATAATGGGGAGTGAATGTGATGTTAACTCCAGAAAACGCCTGTGGATACACAAGACGGAAAAATAACACAACGGCAATAACCAGCAAACCAAATGAATGAATATAGAAATATGTGTAAGAACAGCAAAGGTTCGTTACAAATGAGGAAACTGGACCTTCCCCGGAGCAGTTTAAAATACTGGAAATGCAAAATATCAAAGTAGGCCTACACAGCAGCTATACAAACTATGCATTGAATGTATGATTTCAGACACATTATGACACTGGGAAGTGGAAATTCAATTCCTGCAAATTTCGATTCTTCTGCGTTAAAGTGTTTAATGCTTTGATATTTTTTCCCAATATTTTAAATTTATTTGACTGAGTTTTGAAATCGGCAAAAACGAAATTCACCTGACCTGGTAAAACGTCCAAACCCCACATCCTTGGTCCACATATCAGCTAGATGGGGACCCCAAAATTGAAATCCTGCACACTCAATTTACCATAATGCTTTTCATTACACTTGAAAATACATGACCTGTTCTGAAATTAATTTGAAAGACTCCCGTCTCGAAAATTCGGTGTCTGAGAATCCAAACGAAAAAGAATTAAAAAAAAGGATCATCAAAGAGGAAAATGTGCATACAGACATTTTTCATTCTGTGCAATCCAATGGGTCCTGTGGAAATGTTATAAAACCGTATGTGTAGTGTGTTATTGTGGTTTCAAAAAGATGGAATGTATATCTCAAAGTCGTTATCATATATCGTGAAATTAATATTGAATATAAGAATAAAGACATAAGTGAAATTATATTGTAAAAGTGTGTGGTTTTATGTAAAACGAAAACCGGTCAGAACGTGTATTTTTTTCCCTCTATAATAAAAGACAGAAAATTGAGAAAATAGTCGCATTCATATATTTTCTTAACCGAAATTGAGGTTAATTGAAACTGTGTAGAGGCTGAAAATGGCCTAGTGGCTTAGAAAAAGATAATCATAAAATGTGTGTCTTGATGAATGTGAGGGGGAGGGGGCAGGCATAGCCTACTGGCTGCTCAAAATCCTTTAACAAATTCTCCCTTATTTGTTTTTCATATTTTCTCGTTTTGTCTATACAGAAATCAAAGCAAGCATGTTTCCCACCGGGCCCTGCATTCCTGCATGCTCAAAAGAAGAGCAGATTTTCTGCTGCAGGCATGCGTCAGGCCTTATGGTCGACCCGTTAATCCACTATATTGATTTCCTGCGCAGACAACATCTGGACAAACCGTTTATTCTCTGACTGGGCTGATCTCCAGCTGTTACATCAAGCTACCTGGTGCATACGAGTCCACCTCAACTATTTAGCAGCTAAAAAGAGCCAGTTCACATGCAAGCAAACTACAGGGAGAAAAACATGCTGAAATATGTTTTAATGTGATCACCGGACTAACAGCTGAGAAGCAAGCAGAGATGCTACAGACATCTCATTGCACGTAGATCAACATTTTCGATAATTTGATTATAGCCCATGTTCAATATGAAAAATAAAGCCTATCTTAAGTAATACTGCCATTTTCCTGTGGGCACGCTTCACTGGTCAGTATTTATCAGCTATTCAGAGGAAGCCGACAATTTATAGACAACAGAATCAACTTGAATAACAAGGAAATATCTTTACAGACAATTATTAACTAAACGAAGGAACTCTAAAATTGCTCTGAAGAAATAAGACGCATTTCCTATTATCTCCAGCCAGCTTAACTCACCATTGTCGGGCCTGGGGAGCCACCCAGCGGACAGGACTGCTTATAAACAGAAAACTCACAGCAGTAGGCCAAGCAGGTTTTTACACCATGTCTAATCGTTTTCACATTATTTCACATTTAATAGTTGTTATAGGTGTTTTTTTATTTAATAACGTTTTACCTTTTACTGGCCTCCAAGGCACAAGCATAAATAGCCTACAGGGTAATATTATTTATTTCATAGACTTATATCGAAATGCGCCTTAGACATGAAGTCTCATTTCTCTAAATATAAACTTCTATTATCTGAATATATAAGCTAAATGATAGCCAGAGAGACACGTTTCAGATTAGGGTTACAAAATTATCTGGATAACATTGCTTTACAGTAGCCCACACGCCACAGTTTAGGAAGTTTCCAATTTTTACCCAGCCAAAAGAATCAGATAACCCATCCTTTCCCACTTATAAAAGACCTCTGTATTACCAAATAAAACATTACAATTTCCAGTAACACTTGTTCTGTAACCTTCTGGATAAGGTTTTTAATTTTTAAATTGCCAAAAAATACATGATCCAAGCCTTTCAGCTACAATACTATCCTGATAAAATACTAACTTGTTCACATTTCAACATTCTAGCATAAATTCACTTTCAAATTCACTGTGAGCAGATTTATCATCAGTGGAATTAATACCTACTAAAAACTTGTACACGCAACACTAGTGGCATGCTGGCGCCCTCTGCTGGCCGCGTGCCACTGGAGGAGCTTGAGAAAACAGTATTCGCAAGTTGAACTCATTGTACATTAGTGCAAAGTCTTGTTTACCTAGTAGAGAGATTTAACAGAGCTCCAAATGCACAGAAGTTACACAATATACTGTTCAGTGACAGACATATGCTGCTCAGTTCGAATGATAAGTAATATACTCCATGAAGGATCATTTATTATTTCAAGTAATGGAAGTTTAGAAAAGCACAATAAAATTGTCATAATTACACAACAGTGAAATATTTACAGGAAATAGAATGCAACTGGTAAGACAAGGAAACTCGAAAGAATAAAAGAAAGTGGTTCAAGATGCCTGCAGACAAAAAAACAAACAAACAAAAAAAAAACCATCCACATGAGGTGGTTTTGTAGTCAATGTAGCAGTGCAAGAAGATTCTGATAAACAGCTGAACACTGGTGTTAATGTTTCACACCTATGTACAGCCGGTGTTCTGCACTGCTCCTCATATACAGCCCTTGAATGATGGGTGGAGGGGGAACAAAAGGCTCATTGGTTGGGTACGTTGTTCAGAGTTGTGGGCTTCTTGCTGGAAGACTCAACCACCCAAGGATGAGACAGGACTCCCTGAATGGGTAGTCTGTGCATGGGGTTATGCTTCAGCAGGCAGGCAACCAAGTCTTTGGCTCCAGCACTGATATTGGCCTGTACAGGGTAAGTATACTCCACCTGCATGATGACCACAAGACCGGCACAAAGATTAAACAGCAATTATGAGCCAAACATGTAAGGCAGTTCTGAAACGGTCCTGCAGCAAGCGCAGGTGCTGCAGCCGGAGCTGACTTTTGTTCACGGACTAAAAAGGCATAAATATGAATTTTTTATGAATATGAATTATTATCTAGACCTCCTCGTTTATTTTTTTGGATAGCATTGCAGTAAGGTACACTTAATTAGGATACTTTTTTCCCCCCGTAACTTTATTATTATTATTTTTTTAACGAGCACACAGCGCTGCAATATATGCCAGTTGTTGGGCTGACTTACCCTTGATATCTTGCGGTATGTCTCCTCGTGACTTTTCGTTTCAAAGGGGGGCTTTCCAACCAGAAATTCATAGCAAAGGACACCCAGACTCCACAGGTCCACCTTTTCATCATGAGTTTTCCCCTCAATCATCTCTGGAGGCAAGTAGTCCAGCGTTCCACATAGTGTGGATCTCCTGAACAAGGAAAGGGATAGTAGTATAAGCTCCAAGTGGCGTTTTGTTTTTTGTTTTTTTAAACCCAGAATTCCTGACCTGAGCACAGAAACCAAAACATATTCCTCTCCAAATATTGCAATATCACTAAATGGCTCTACAAATTCACTACTTCATTTACAGTTTAAAAAAAAAACAACAACATGAACATACCTGGAGGAGGGTGTGTGAACAGACCAGCCAAAATCTGCGATCTTCAGCTCCCCGTTGGCGCCCAGTAACAGGTTCTCTGGTTTGATGTCCCTGTGGATCACCTTCTTGGAGTGACAATAGTTGAGGGCATCCGCCAGCTCCATGATGTACTAGTACAGTACACAAACCACAGTCAATAAAACATGCATTCAATTTTGATTCAGCATCCTCTCATCAAATGTTCAGTAAAATCAAGGAAGGATCCTGAACATCAACATGTTTGTGGAATTGGTATACACCTTACATGGAATTTATTATTCACTGAATAAAATTATACATGTTTAAGTTTGTCATGTCAACTGCTCGTTTGATAGCAAAGTATACATTTCACAAAAGCATATTTTGCAGACTTACTGTGGCACTTCTGTCCTCAGGAAAACTTCCACAGCGCTGCAGCTCACTGTACAGTTCACCCCGAGGTGCAAACTCAAGGATGAGATACACACGAGACGAGTCATGGAAGTACCCGTAGAGGCGCAGGATATTGGGGTGCCTGCAGGACGCCGATGTAGAGAAGTATTCTGAGAAATTTTGTTGAAATACCCAACAGATATTTCAAGAGCAAAGAGTGAACTAAATGAACATTCACAAAAGCAGCTGCTTTATAGATGGTCCACGGTTTGCGCAGTATCAGAGGTCATGCTAAGGACTTTAATACGTCACTGTGGCAAAACTTTCAAATAAAGCAAATCAGATTTTAACAGAGAGAAAACAATTTGGTTTTTACCAAGCATGCTGGTCAATTATTTCCCGGTGGCAGTACACAAAAAAAAAAAAGGGGGGGGGGGGGGGGGGTAACCAGTTAGACTGGTTTGTCTGATCTGACATAGGCAACATTTTGCTAGGCCTGTCACTATGGAGTCTCCGTTGCTGCGTTAAACTGGGGAACTCTGTACTTCCTTGCAATCACTGTTCAGAGACTTGAGTCTACTACTGTACGGCAAACACATCAAAGATACACATTTTCCTTAATTAATTCTCCAAAATAGTTCATTTCAGTTTGGCTCTTTTTAAAAGGTTACTTGAGGGGGTTGTTATTGTCCCAGCTTCTGTTTAATATTGCCAAGTTATCCTCTAGTATGTAGCTGTAGTTGCGGTTATGCAAACTGATTTCCATTTCAGAAACTTTGTGCCCCCAGCAACCCCACTTGGTTGTTTGAAATTCTTTTACTGTCCCATTCAAACTATGGGCCCAAAAAATTGGTGTGACAAAATTAAGCATGTTTTTCATGCTGCCAATTCAGAAATAAGTATAGGGACGTCAGCAACTTAAGTGTCTATTTGGCATTATCTTGCATAATTTGGACAACGCATTACCTGAGGTGAGACTGGATCTCCACTTCTCTCCTCAGTTGGTGCTCCACACCGGCCTTCTCCAGCTGCTTCTTGAATAGGACCTTCAGGGCCAAGATGAACTTACTTTGTCGCTCTCTAGCCAGGTAGACATTGCCAAATTTACCCTTTCCTAAAGGGCGGCCAATGTCAAAATTTTCCAGGCTCCATCGCTTGCTGTGTGAGCAGAAATGTGCATAGATTCAATGGCAACAAATGTGTAATTTTAAAGATTGTGTGTGTGTGTGTGTGTGTGTGTGTGTGTGTGTGTGTGTGTGGAGTATAATGAATCACACTTATCAGGCGTACTTTGATGCAGTGGAGTTTGCGGAATCATTCTTGGCAGGTTTGTCTAACAAAAAGGGGAAAAAACGATACATTTTAGCATCTACAAACACACGACTGAATAGTTTGTCAAATTTTGTAATATGCTTACTCTGTGGCTTCTCCAGCTTAGCAGGTTCTGACGGTGGGTTGGCCGGCTCCGGGTTCACCTTGGGCACATATGTCTTTGGCTGGTTTTGTTGGGAACCATGTTTGGGCTGAGGTGCAGGATTTCCTTTCTGAGTAGCAGGGTTCACATTCTGGTCCACGAGGCGTGTGGACTTCACAGCAACAGAAACATGAGATACTGGTTTCTGATG